TTATGATTTTTTTTTTTTTCAAATTTCGAGAAATGAATTAATTTTATACTGGCGATTAATTCATTAGAAACCCGGGATGGACAATGTAAGCCCTGACCACTCTCAAGCCTGGAATGAACACTCCATAATTTATTGAGAACCCTAGAATGGGCACACAGCAATCCTTATTGCCCGACGACATCAGTCAGCCTTACCCTAAGGCTTTACAAGGCAGTTAGTGCACATAACCAACCAGGCCCTGCAAGCAGCTTGAAACTGAGCTTGGGATTCAGACGCTGAGTTTGCGAGTGAAGCTACTGGACAGGCCAAAGAGCAACAACTTTCTATAACAAAGTTTTTTTTTTTTTTTAAGGATTTTTTTAATATTAATTTTAATTTTTTAATTTTTTTTTCCCCCCACAAAACAAACCCCTTCTGTTCTGGGGGGCATCAGTCCGGTTGCTTATCACCGGCAAGCATGTGTGTACAAAGAGACAAAGAGTGAGCAAAGAGGTTAGCCTAACCCTTGCAGTCCTAGTCACCTGCAAGGGGGGAGTTGATAAGGGGCACCCCCAGCCCCCAAATCCACTGCCCTCCAAGGGTGCCCTGCTGGCCAGGAAGCTTACAAGCAGCACCCAGTCACACAGCATGACACCTCCCGGTCGGTCGGACGCAGGGGGGGGTTCCTTATCAACTCCTCAGGCCGTTTAGCTTCCAGTTTTCACCTATCTTCACCTATTATAATTTTTTTTTTTCTTTCGAGCCCTCGCCCGAGAGACGGTTAACAGAACCCTGAATTTTCAGGAGTCTCAGGGCTGGTGCGGGCTTACAAGCCACAATCGGGCGGCCTGGATGGCAGTCTGCAATCACACAGAAAGAAAACAAGAAGTTTTGATATTTGACCAAAGCAATTAAGTGCAATAAAATGATTGATTTCTAACATGGTACATAAGAGCAGGACAGAAAATAGGTCACCTTTACAAGAAAAGTCATGGTATTTTGTATGACAAGTTTTTGAGTTACAGTTCACGATATACATCACTGCTGGAAAGCAGAGTCCCATAGATGAGCGTACACAGACAAAACAAATATAATTAAAAAAAAAGAAGTTATCAACAAAGATGCATCTTTGATTTTAATGGTTGATATTTGCCGCAAAGATAGATAGGTAGATAGATATGTAAATAAATATGTAGATACATAGATACATAGACAGAGAGAGAGAGAGACGTAACATGCCACTGAAAAACTAGGAAGATTGTCACGAGCGGTCGGTCACCCGGTCATGACGCCCCGGGGGGTTGACGCCTGGGGTACCTGAGGAAAAAAAATACCTAAAAAAAAAATTTTGATAGTAAATACTTGGCTACCAGACCCGCACGGGCCCGGCCGCCCGGCCGGGCAGCCGGGCGAGTGCGATTTGGACCCTCTTCCCGGGTCACCTGGGCAAGTAAAAAAAAT